TCTCCATATTGCTGGCGTATTTGATTGCTTTTCAGCATATTTTCACATGACAAATCCTTGCTTTTATTTTTATTTTTATTAGAGAATAGTTGAATGAAGGTTAAGCATATATTATCACAGGCAGACAGTGGATCCTATTTCACAAAACATGTTTCCACCATTGCTTGCATGTTTAGTGCTCCTGACAGTAAGCCCATCCCAGTTTGAAACTTCGTGCCATGCCTCACTAGCAATGTGTAGGTAGGGTTACATGAGAACTAAATCCATCTAAAAAGTGAAATATGTATCACGGTTGGAGTGACACCAATAAGGGGTCTCACACTGTTGCACACTATAGTTATTTTTGTACAATCTTTAAACAATTATTTTTTTCAAACACCATTCAATGCATTTATGCAGATTTTGTATTTCTTCTTGGCTAATCAAAATTCCAATAGACCGTACTCTCAAATTCTGGCAATAAGACTCTGATTTTCGCTTCTTGCAGATAACTCCTGAGGAGTCATGGCTATCCTTTGATGAGGATGCCCAAGTGCTTCATAACAAGGTATTCTTCTCAATTGTCTTTCAATCTGGGCTGAGTGATCATGACACAGTAGCTTTTAGGTTCGGGCATTTGCAGGATGGCCAGGAACACGAGCTAGACTTAAGGTTATTGACCCTAGCAATGGCGAGAGCAGTATTATAGAGCTTAAAATTATCACTACTCGGATTTATGGTGGTATCAGAAGTCAAGATATAGAGGCCAATGATGTGCTTTTCACCAAAGGTTCACTGGTAATTCCTTGTGGTGGGGGCACGGCACTGGAGGTGAGAAGATTTTGTAACTTAAAATTCAAGAATATTTTGATTCAAGCTGCAAGGTCTATCAGCATTTTTAGGCCTAGATTCTATGGGATGCTCTATTTTCATATCGTCCTAAATTTGTAAAATTACACGAGATCCACAATTGATGCCAGCTTTCTATTCATGTACAATGCCCTTAAATATTCCATGCTGACTCACAATTGTACATGCATGTATCTAGAACCTCTATACACTTTAAATTTGCTGTTTCTTGGTTATCTGGTAAATGGAGGGTTGGGTATGATTTTGTTCATCTAAATTTACAGCTCTACTATGAATACGTTGGTTGTATGCATACACATTTATCTGAGTCCTTTCAAGTTTTCCTCATGTATTTGTCTTGAATCTTTTGTGAGATAGATAGATGAGGAGGGAGGGGGTTATTAGTTGTCTGCAGAGCATGGACACTTCTTTTCTGTAGATAGATCTACTTATATAGGCAGTTCTAATATTAGAGGTTGATATTCATGTTGTCTGCATCTTCTTTTTCTTGGTATGCTACACTGATTTTGAAATCTTTACAATGCTAGTTCTTTTTGGTATTTCAGGTTTTGGAAATTCAACTTCCTGGCAAGAGAGCTGTTAATGCAGCTGCATTTTGGAATGGTTTAAGAGGCCAAATGCTGAAAAAGTTGTGATCACTAAGCCAGTCAACCACACCAAAATGTAAGGCTTAATATTCTTGAAGTCCTTAATAGATTTCGGAACGGCTGCCACATGTGCATTTCTCTTGATGACCAGTTCTTTTTTTCTTTTAATGGTTCCATTGAATGCCTGAAATGACAATAATCTTGTTATGCATCCCTAGTAAATAACTCGATTATCTCTGTTCTTTTTGAAAATGTTCCTTTTCCTTTTCTTGTTCCTTAGTTTTTGGTGATTGGTTAGTGGCACTTGGTTCAAGGGGGAAATTGTTGGGTGTGCGAACAAAGTGCTACATTGGAAATTAATAAGGAAAAAAAGTTACATATGAAGTGTAGGGACATTGTGAAGACTTTTGGGAAAAACCATGCAGGTTTTGGCCCAAAATTTCCCCATATTAATAGTATATATGGGCTGGCCTAGCCCAACACTCCTCCCCACCCCCTTTTCTTTTCCCTTATCATTGCCTTCTGCAAAGACCTATAATTAAGAAAAACGAGTCATCTACCTTTCTGCGATAACTAGGAACAACTTGTTTAGAGTAATGTTTTAAGGTTGCAGATTAGCATGTGGTAAATGGAAACTTATTAGAAAATGGAATTGTTTAAGTTATTTATGTGATTGTGTGCTAGTTTAATTCAGTTGAAGTATGTTGGCAAATGCGTAAAAACACAGAATGTTAGGATGAATTGATTTGGAATGGTGACAAATACTGCTTTTGAGATACCAAAAGCCACAAACTGGTGGTATATGGAATATATGCTCCTTTGTCTTTACATGGTGTAAACTAAAGGACTTGGCAGTCAAAAGCATGTTAAAGCATTATCCATAGAGCATAATAGAAAAGTTGATGCTTTTGTTTTGATTGCAGCAGCCACTCGACAAGTTCTACCAAATGTCATTGTTCTGGAGAGTTCATTACATTATCTGATCATATGAAGCAAAGCTAAATGACTCGATGATTCTGATTCCTGTCGGGTTCTTTTCTGTTTTCGGGATTGTACTGACCTCTCTAGGAAGTGCTAAAAGAAGGCATTTGTTAGACAAGATATTCCAGCTTCAAGAAAATAACTGAATTTGCTTATATGAATTTGAACTGATATGTAACGCTCAATTTAGTGGGGAAAAAATAAAACAAATTTCCTTTGTCTTTTGTATGGCTAAAATCCCCTTCTCTATTTGTTGACTTGAGAATATTCATGTTTCAGCTTTTTAGCTAGCTACTCAGGAGCGAGCTTAAATAGACAGAGGAGATGATGAATTCATATAGTAAAGTTTATGATGAGATTTAAGTGAAATTTGTGAAACAGTGAAGCTATTTTCTTCCAGTGGCTTCACCTATTCAGAAAAATGGTTGGCCTACGAATCTGATTTCGAGCCTTGTAGTGATTGCTTTAATATACTAAGATTTTACCTTGTTTTCATTTTATCAAATTTAGTGCACAACAGATAATTTTTTCCTGTGTCTGTTGATTTACAAGTAGTGATTATCGTGAAAAAAATTAATGGGAAAATGCATAAGTACTCCTAGCCTATGCCCAAAATCCCTGGAACACATCTAACCTTTACTAAGGTCCTATTACCCCCTAACTTATTTTATATTTAATTTTCTACCCCTTTTTGGCTTACGTGGCACTATCTTGTAGGCCCAATGCGTGTTGACAATTTTTTCAAGGATAGTGTCATGTAGGCCGAAAAGGGGTAGAAAATTAATTAAAAAATAAGTTCGGGAGGTAATAGGACCTTAGTAAAAGTTAGATGTGTCTCAGAGATTTTGGGCATAGGCTGGGGGTACTTATGCATTTTCCCAAAACTAATTGTAGAAATGGCTCCCACTAGCCATTTTTCGGCAAAAATAACTACTGTCGTGGAGTTTCAAATCACCACAATAAAGTTGCTCTAGGCAGACTAGACTCCTTATTCTTGCAGATAAGTTGGAACTTGAAAGATAATTCGAATACATGTATTCTCATCAAAATACGATTCTGTCTTTATTTCTCACTTTGAACTCACTAATAAGGTTCCCATGGCCTACAGTTTGACCCCAAAACTAAAAGGACTACATAAATACGCAATTATTGAACCACTTTGGAACTCATCATATCTTATATTGAAACGGAAGTGCTAAATGACCAGAAAATTATAATATTTTTTTTTATTTTAAAACAAATTGATCTTTTTTTCATTTTTTTAGTTAAAAGGGTAAAAAAACATAGATAAAATATCATTCTGACCATATTTTCTGGCAAATTTTTTTTTTCCATATTTGAAAAGTATCATTATACCGACGGTTAAATAGTCTTTTTAGTATAATTTTTTGATAACTGTAAGTTATACTTTAATATATTTTTATTTTAACAACACTAAAAGTTGATGCACCATAATGATTTACGTTATGCCTTGAGACCTGGGATTCTTCTTTTTGATAAATAATTTGTGTTTAATTGTACTAACAAGTTTCATCTCTTTACTTGTGGGGATAAAAAAAAATATTCTATCAACCTACTTTTCTTTCCTTTGTTTTTTTTTACAACCTTTTCCAACTCAAAGGTTTTAGGTTGCCCTACATAGAAGAAAGGTCTTAAAGAATCATGGAGCAAAATTCAAGAAAATATTTCAACTCTCCATCCCAAGAAATTGAAATTATGTAGTAACTCTGTCTCAATTTGTTGATGCTTTTAATGTATACTAAAGTTTTTCACTATTTTTTTTCTAATAAGATTAAACATTACTATGTTTCATACTCTTAGGTATGATTAAATAGTACGTACATACAAAATACTAACAACAATATAATTTCAGAAGTAGGGTCTAGGATTACATACAAAATACTAGAGGAGTCCAACTATGAATGCGGTTTCGAACAAAATATAATTTGGAGGAATGATTTTTTTATTTATTGAATGGAAAGATATACGAAACTGAAATAGTCCAAAATGAAATTAAATCTTATCTTTTATGCACGAATTTAGGATCAGGGAAACATTGGAAGCCAATAATTAGGGGCATTAATTGATAAAATAAGTAAAAAGGCAAAGCCACACCCACTGAACGAAAATGAAAGGAAGACATAAAAGTACTTTACAACAATTTTCCAATTACTAACACATCACAATAAACAAATGAAGAGTTACATAAAGGATCATCATTTCTGAGCACACTTGCATCTTTTATGTACAATTTCTTTAGCAAAAAGAAAATTAAACAATATAATGTACCACCGTTAACTTTTTTTTTAATAGCGGACTTCAATTTATTTGAAACTGAATCTTAATTGTTGTTGTATAGTAAATAAAGTAATTATGAATTTGAAGTTTAATAGGATAATATGAAAAAATATTATTAAATTACATTAAATTTTATATTGTCAATATATATAACTTAAACTGTTTTTTTATAAACAGGATTAGTTCTTGCTTTAGTTGTCATTGTCCCATATCCACCTAACCAACTTGTTATAATATTCCCCCATCCCCATAAAACCCACAACACAAGTCTCTCTATTTATATATTTGCTTTCTCCCAAAGATAAGTGAAAATTCGATCAATCGAGAGAATTTATAATATGGGTGTTCTTGATTATTTATCAATTTTTTGCACCGTTACAAGTAGAAGACGACGTACCAAAAGGAGACCATTACAGGTATCTTACTATTCATTTTATAACCATTTTTTTTGTGTGTGTGTGTGTGTTATTGATGAGTTGTTTTTTTGTTTTAAAAAAAATAAAATGTTAAGACAGTGGAGATAAAAGTGAAGATGGACTGTGATGGATGTGAAAGAAGAGTCAAGAACGCAGTTAGACGCATGAAAGGTTCGGTTCTGACATAAAATTCTTTGGTTATAAATTATTTATTTAATGTGTAGGTACGTTATTTATAGGTAATTATTGTGATTTTCAGGTGTGAAAACAGTGGAAGTGATTAGAAAACAACACAGGGTGATAGTGAGTGGTTATGTTGATCCAGCGAGAGTGTTGAATAGAATAAAAAGCACTGGAAAAAGAGCAGAAATGTGGCCATATATTCCATATAATTTGGTGTCTTATCCATACGTAGCTCAAGCATATGACAAAAAGGCACCTTCTGGTTTTGTTAAAAATGTGCCACAAGCACTAATTGCACCTAATGCTACTGAAGAAAGGATTACTCATCTTTTTAGTGATGATAATCCCAATGCTTGTTCTATTATGTGATCCAACTTTCAAATTTCTTTCTTTTTCTCCAAGGTCATGTTTTTTTTTTCTTTCTTGGAGTTTAGGAATTTAGTAAAAGAATATTATTATATTATGTACTTGTCTATGTCATTGTAATTAAGAACTGGCTAAGGTAGAACTATTAGCTTGAACGATGGAATATTAAGCTTCTTTTTTTTGTGCTTTGCTTGAATTTGAAGAAGCAAATATCTATTATTGTATACCATCTTTTTGTTTCTAAAATTTGCTAAATAATAACAATAGCAACTTTATATTAGATGAACATTTTTTATTTTATACGGTTATTAAGAAATCATTAATAGATTGATCAACTTAGTTATTTTGCACTTTGTTCATATTAATTAGCTCTTGAATAAAGAAATTTTGAATCTTCAAATTTTGTTTAAACTTCCAAAGTCAATATAAATTGTAGGGGTAAAATGGGAAAAAAACAATTAATTCTATCCCGATTTAGTAAGTGATCAAATAATATGAGACAAATACTTTTAGTAAGATGTCCATCTAATATGACACGGAAGTAGTAATACTTTTAAATTTATAAGCTTTTAGAATTTTTATCGATTGAACTTATCGCCATAAATAGATAGGTAGAAGGAAAGATATATAAATTAAAATAAGAGAGATTCTTTGTAGAAGAGTGTTTCTGCGTAAAGTTGTTATATTCTCTCAAATATGCCGAATGCATATAAGCTAGAATCCTATTCTTTCCACGGATGATGGAATTTATCATTTATGTTGTTTTTTAAGTTCATAAAGATTACAATAAAGACCAGAAGAAGAAGAAGTATGCTTTGATTACCAGCAGCCCTTTTCAAATTCGACACTGCCTTTTCCACTCTGCTTATAATTATTATATTATCAGTAAATCATTGCTTTATTTTTAATTTGACAATAATCAATTAATCATTGCTTAAATTCACTTATTGCTTACAATTCTTTTTGTAGAACAAAAGCGTTACCTCGATATTGTTTCGTTTGTGATATACTCGCTATATATTTCAATTATGATGATACCCTAAACTATATAATCGTAACAAATAACAATTATGATATCCAAACTATATATATAACGATTATTTTAACTGTGGTATATATCTTTTCCTTAAAGTAATTATACTAATGGTGGTGGTGAAAATATGTTAAATATATAGGCCTATTGAATGCCAAAGAAAAAATATTACTGTGTTAAAACAGTTCAAATTTCTAAGTGCCACTTACAATTAACTTTTCGAATGGGGTTATTCCTCCCCTAACTAGATGTTTCGGGTTCAAGCTCTGGATATGATAAAATCTTTTATAGATCGTGTCTCCTCAAATGGGCCTAAGCAACGCGAATTTGAAATAGTTGGACTCAAATGCCGTTATTAAACACTGTTCAGATAAGAAATGAAAAGAAAAAAAAAAAAAGGAAAAACTTATCAAAATGGTAAACTCCTTTTGATGTATCCTGAATTTTTGGCTTTTACCATGACAAGAGTGATGAATACAATCACACTTATTAAGTATTTTACTGTGGATGTATAAAAAGTCAATTAGAACTGATGATTAAGATATGATTTATCTTATCCTAATAAATCCTGGTTAGTAGACTGTACCTGTTGCCACTATGTTGGAATATAATAAACAAGTACCAATATAATTACTCCCTCCGTTTTAAAAAGACTGACTTCCTTTATTTTTTAGTCTGTTTAAAAAAGAATTATCTTTTTCCTCTTTTGGTAACATTTTAATTTCAGCTTTCCACATGGTATGTTTAAGACCACAAGATTAAAAGACAATTTTGTACATTTGACATAACTTTAATTTAGGACCACAAGATTCAAGAGTCTTCTTTATTTCCTTACTCCGTGTCAAGTCAAACTAGATCATTTTTTGTGAAACGGAAGGAGTATCTCTTATTAACTTTTCCTCTTTCAATCTGTAGTGGGACAGTTTAAATTCCTTAATTAAAAAGTCTTCTCACCAATTTTTCTCTTTTTAAAAAGTTGAGCAGTGACAACAAATTAAAGATGGGGGTATTAATTATTATCTTAAAACGAAAAGAAAGAAAGTAAAATTTTAAAATTAGGTACTCCATCATTACATGGTCAAGTTTTCAAAAAAGCAAGTCTATAACACCGACCAATTTCATTTTATTAAAACAAAAAAGATAGGAAATTTTCCCACTAATTCTTTATTTATGAATTTTAATCCGGACAACAAAGAAAATGACAATGTTGCTTTAGAAATTGAGTGGATAAAACAAAAATTGTGAACATTTTAATGTTAATTCCGCCGTTTATATCAGTTAATGACAATTACCTTAACCATGATTTGTGTGTCTTGGAGGAAAAATTTCCCCACATTAGCCACATAAATATTTAAAAATAAGGCATTATTGAAACATAAGACCTTTATTAATCACTGATCCACAAGACTCGATCCTTCTTTTTTCAATTAAAATACAAGAAAGAAATAAAGAAAAAGCAAAGATTTTTTATCAATTTATCGAAATTTTTTTAATTAATAAAATTTGAAATGGAGTTTGAAAGACTAATCTGATTCTAATAATAAGCTACCCTATGCTCTAATCAACTAACTGTAAAGGTTTTCTTTTTCTTTCCTTTTTAGCAATATCAATCAACATGAAAGCTATGAGCAGTGTTACATAATAATTTCCTATTATATGATTAATACTTTAGAAACATTTCTTTTATGAAAATATCAAATTAAAGTGTAAGGAGTCTACAATGTTAAGAGGGGCCTAAAAGATTTTTATTTTTGAACTATTGAAGGGGGACATGTATGTCATTATTTGGCTATACATTAGTACTGTCTGGGGTTGCCTCTGCCAGCATATTTTTCTTATAAAGCACCTCATAAAAATCAACAAAGGTCATAAAAAACAAACATAACATGTTACAGTGTCCCTTACAGATACTCTTTATGTTAACTATGATTAATTAATATAACATGTTGGATCAAAACTTTTAACAATGTAAATGACAATGCTTGGCCTCCCAAATATGGTCCATCATGTTGATTTACAAGAATGTCCTTAAATGTGGTGGTCTTTAGTTTTGCCCATGGGGTAAACGAGGTTAGAACCCTTACATCTCTCGATTTTACTCTCAAAAGCAGGGGTTTTAAGCTCTCTTACACTTTTTATGTCTTCTACACTCGAAATTGAAGCTCGACCCCATGGGCAAAACTTCAAGTTTTGACCTTGAAGGTTGAATTGGGACACCTGGGGATTAAAAGTTTTAAGATCACCTATTTTCCAATAACAAAGTTATTGGACGTAATTTCCAACATGAGTTTTAGGCCCAAAATTAACAAATAATCTTAGAAGGAACAATAACTGCATTTTCTGTAGATGGCTCATGGCTATCTGGACCCAAATTGTAACACTCAGCAAAAATGATCCAACCATGGGCCATATGAAAATTTGTTGGGCCTAAATGAAATATTGAACACTATGGCTCAAATATTGTCCTGATTTTTCTACAAATTATCATGAGTTTAATGTAGTGAGAAAATTTTAATACTACCACCTATTCTTCAGATTATGATATGAGATTCAAAATAAAGTTTCTGGCTAGGATCAAATCATGTAAATGTACTACACCCACGCACATAGTCATGCTACTAACAAGAGAATCTGACACTACTACTTGCCAGTTGCCTCTATATGGAAAAAATGATATACTTTGCCTTACTCCCTTTATCTGAACTGTCAATCCTCATTTCTCTGAACTACTCAACTGGTCAAATCACACTTTTCTTACACCCTTCAACACCCCACCCCCCTAAACCTCCTATCTAAAGAACACAAAAACACTCAACACACTGACACTTCTGAGGTTCTGTTGTGTTTTGTACTGAGATGAAAGGACAAGCTAGCTAGTGTACCCCATGTTCTTGCTGCAGCTGTTACTGAGTCATGTATTTGGTGCCTGCATTTCTCTTTACTAGTGCTACTGTGGCTGATATTTAGCCATTTGTAGGGTGATCCTTTTGAGGTAAGTTATTAGCAAGACTTAAAATAGAAACAACAAGTTTCAACTTCATTTGACATAAGAGAACAAACTAAACACTGCTACTTACCTGAAAAATGTCTGCTACTGTCCAGGACTTTGAGCTTGTGAGAATTCAGGTCATTCACTTAGTTCTCATCAGTTCTCTCATTTTCCACTTAATTAGTTTTCTCATTAGCCTTCTTTAACTACTGCTTTGTATTTTTTTGTTTACAGACTTGTGTTCTTAAAGTTCAGATCAACTGTCATGGATGCATGCAGAAGGTGAAGAAACTGCTTAAAAGAATTGAAGGTACTCTCATTTTTCACTTACTATAAGTTACACTAGTAGCATCTACCACCTTTTCTCCAACATGCACACCAGGAAAAATTAAAAGAGAGGGTGAGCAAAAATTATTGCTTTGGCAGATCTTAACAAAAGAACAGAGGAAGTTCATACTTTAGAATAAAGATTATTTACATTATGGACAAAACATTTGGTTTCAGGGGTTTATCAAGTGAAAATGGATGTGGATGAACAAGTGGTCATAGTATCTGGGAATGTGGACTCAGCAACACTGATCAAGAAGCTAAACAAATCTGGAAAACATGCAGAGCTTTTATCAGAAAACCCAATGGAAAACCAAGAAACAGAACTACTCTACAAGTGGTTAAATGATGACTTTCACCAAAACCAGGGAGGTCTAAGCTGGTGTGACGATGAGAAGACTCAAAACAGAGAACTCCTTAACTGGCTCAATAATACCAAGCATCAAAACCAAATGCACAGCTTGTACAATTCTCTTGGAGCCTCCAAGAGACGGCCTATGTGTTCCCCTATTGAACGAGGCTTCGATCACTGGGGCAACAAACAGTTTTTGGACCAGAGTATTGGAATTGACTCTCTCTCAGGTGAAGCAAATCGGAACCTTTTTGCACTAGGAAACATGGATTATCCATATAATGTTCAGGAAGAAAGCATCATTAACAATGCAGATTTCGGAAGAACTTCTGCATTTGGATATCTCCAAAGTCTACAAGGTAGAAGAAATTCAATGGTTGATTTTCAAGGTCTCCGAGACAGTAATCCTAGTTTTGCTCCAAACCAAGGTCTCAGAAGTATTAATTCCTGTTTTGCTAATTGGGGAAGTGAAGAACCAGGTCTACAGAACTTGCACACTGCTCAAGGGGAATATGGATATCAACCAAGGCCATTCAGTGAGATGAATGACATGCAAGCTTTCCATTACAAACATCCATCTTCAACAATGAACTCTTTTTTTGATTACCCTCCAACAATGATGAACTCTTACAGGCAGAATAGCCATGACAATGGCATTGGCAACATCATCAATGATATTTACACATATCAACCAGGAAGGATTCTCAATCAGACACCCTATGGTGTCTTCCCACCCAACATCAGCCATTCTTGGAACATGAATAACTATAACAATTGAGAGACTTACCATCCGTACCTATATATATAGATTAGATTTCAGTTTTCACATATAAACAACTATGGTTTCTTTTGTCCTTTCTTGTTTGGAGTAATTTCATTTTTATACATTGATGGTGTTAATCTTTGTGAACACTATCCTAGTATTATACACTATTGTAATAACCTAATAGGCAACATGCTTTATTTGCCAAGCTACTACAAGTAATTTCACATTTATACATTGACGGTGTAAAACTTTGTTAATACTATCCTAGTATTATAAACTATTGTAATAACCTAATAGGCAACATGCTTTATTTGCCAAGCTACTACAAGTCCACCGTTTATGCATTCAAATGTTGTAGTGATACTCCCTAATTTCAGACATAGGCAAAACCCCAGTGAAAGGCAACTGTTTAGCCTTTATTCCTGTTAGCTGCTTTGCAATATAGAGAAATCACAGTTGCAGTAAACAAGCATTAATGTGAAACTCTAAAAGTAGGTATAGAGCAATTAACTTATCTCAAAGTGTTAGTTATGAAATCCGAGTTCCCATTCAGCAGTAAGAATAAGTAATCTAAGTAAATGGTCTACATAAAGCAATCATGAGGAATTTACAGAAAGCAGTAAGCAATTCCATCAACAGCTGCCACATCTTCTTCTTGAAATGAATTATCTCTCATCCAATAGTTAAAGAAACTTGGAATCAGCCACTAAGAAATAAATCTATTGGTACAATGTTTAAATGCAAAAAAGAAAGGTGTCACCATGAAGCTATCGTTTCCGTGCTTTCCTACGCCTAGATTCTGTTTTCTGCCATTTCTTTCTACGTACCAATTTGCTCTTTGGTTTCAGTTTTATTTCAGGAGAGAACTCAAAGTTCGGATCTCTCATACGAGTTTGTATGTCTTTGAAGAACTGCATATTCAATTTCTTAGGTCCTCCCTGTCTCAACTCAGCATATTCTGGTCCCGAAATGATGTTCTCAAAAGCACCAATCAGAATGTCCAAATCACTCATAACCTCCCAAACATTGATGTAACGCCCATCCGGTCCCTTTTTCAACTTCTTAAGGGCATTTTCCACAGCAATTTTTCTAGCTTGCTTTCCCGGAGATAACTCTTCAGGTTCCTGCTCAGATTTCAAGGCTTCAGAGAGTGTTCTATATTTAGGTTTTTCCTCAAACTCAAACAGTTTATCAATGTAACTATCACTCTTTATGTTTGGGTATGGTTCAGTCGGAATATCATCATCATCATCTCCCTCACTACCAGTCCATAATGTCTTCTCATCATCACTATCAGACCACAGACTTCTCAGTTCGTCACTATCATCTGCATCAATAGGACCATCTTGCGCTTTTGCTCGTTGTTTGGCTTTCCTAATCTCTTTTCTGAGACGGCTATGACTATCACCTTTATCAGAGTCACTTTCATCTTCACTTGCTGTCCATAGACGGCTCTCTTCATCATCCATTTGTTTTGCCCAGGCTTTCTTAAACTCATCTGGTTTAGGTATACCACCACCAAATAGATCATAGTTGGAACGTCTGTTACGTGCATATGATCTCAACACTGCATCAATTATAGAACCTCTTGAATTTTGTTTGCAAGTTATTATACTTGCAAGAAGAAGAAAAGCCAAAATGCTATGTGCAGAAAGTACTCCGTATTACAGTATTAAAACTAGATGCCTTGACTTGTGGCCTATATCAAGAAGTTATATGCATATCAAGTCCAGGGACTAAATTATAAAATATTGTGGCCACTTCAAGGAATGGTGAATTTTAAAAATTGGATGAAATTTCAAGGAAAAAAGAGGCCAAATCATGTAGCACAAGCACTAAAATATTCTATCGATGTATAACAAACCTACAGAACTAAACTTTAACAAAAAACTTCCAAATTTATATGGTTTAGTTTCATTCAAAGAACAGAAGAAACAACTTCAAGAAACAATCAGACTGCCAACTGAAAAGCACTAACGAAAAGAGAAGTGTTCAAGTACTGGGCAGACACATAAAAGTAAGTAAATTTTAAGGCGAGCTGAAATTTATCAACAGGTGAAGTACGGATTGCCTAAAAGATAACAATAACGGAAACACAGCCCTAAGATTCTTAGATAACTATAGAAACGTTAGAATTTAAGGGTCCTTTTTTAACTGAACATGTGATTATCATCAGCAAATCTCAATTGATAGAGTATCTGCAAAATCCCGTCACAAGAAAGGCATGCAAATTTGTTTCAGGAAAATTATCTTGAAAGCAGAGGTGTGATAAGACTTCTTCATGACTATTCAATTGAAATATGCTAATTCATACTTCACCTGTTGATAAATTGCAGAGGTGAGCTGCATTTTGATTTCCAATCGTAGTAATTTCTCCTTTAATGGTATTAGCAAAGAAGTTTGAGGACAGGAAAATTATCTTGATTTCCTAACACATACATGTAGCAGACTCGTTGAAAGAAAAAAAAGTTCAGAAGAATTCTGAAAGGCAAAACACAAATTCTTGTCCAGGAACATGGTTCAACAGCAGAGGCACAAGTAGTAGCACTTAAGAAGAAAAATATTGAGGTAGAAACATATGTGTGTTGTAAAAATATTCACTAGGCGACTCGATGCTAGGTTAAAACTGATTCACTTGATAGGAGATTATACACACTGTCCTACAACTGAGCAACCCTTATTCAGAATCTGTCCTTGGACTGCCTTGGAGCAGTCGAGGGTTTTTAATATTTCAATGAGAACTCCCACTAACAGATTGTCCACGTGAAAAGAAACCTCATCTCCATCACTTATAATACTCTTGAATGTCCAAACCGGTGCCTTACAATTTACAAACACCAGCAATATATAACAGGGGGGGGGGGGGGGGGGGGGGGGGGGGGGGGGGGAATCAGCTTTGAGCTCTATCACTTTTACCAATTAGGTTGACAGGTGTGCAGAGAACTAACCTTGCAATTGGAGCATAGGATAAAAATAGCCATGGGGTACAGTGTGTGGATGAGACTGGAATGTCCCGGGTAAGATTGGTGGTTGTAATTTGACTCCAGTAATTGATCTACACATGCAGGAAACCATACAGAGACGAGAAAACCTTTGAGCCATTTCCCCGATTTGTGCAGAGAAAAAAACATACAACTCAACCTCAACTCCGCATCAGCTTCTTTAAAGGAGAAATAACTACAATTGGAAATCAAAATATTCATTATTATTTGGAAAAAAAGAGAGGAAATTAAGTAGAAATTATTACATAGTTGATAGTACCTGTCCTCAAACTTCTATGCTAATACCATTATGTCCATTATTGGACTCAGGATTTAAGCTGTCAGAACATATAAACTCTTTGGTTCAAGAACTACATGGGCACCCACCACTTACACTCATAGACATCTCACCACAAGGTTGACACTTGACTATATGCAATTAAAATGAAAAGCTTGTCTACCCTGACAGTGTGTTCAACATCAACATAAAGGTACTCATTACTGAGATTAAACAACTTAAGAGTAAATAAACTAAATTAACCTTCAAGACAAGCTTTGAGAGTCTCAATGAACTTGGAAAAGTTCTATCTTTTCAAGGGCCTTGAACACATCCTCTGTACTAATCGTTTGCTCCTACACTCCTTGAGTATATCATTTCCACAGCAACTACCTAACAGAAAAGTTTCAAAACAATGAGCGAATTGAATGAAATGAAACATCTGAATTTTTTTTGGAAAGACAACTAGTAATTAATTCTGTTTCTGAAATAAAATTTTCTATAACCGAATGAAAAATGTAATTTTCGCTCAAGTTCAACAATCAGTTAATTTATTCACTTCAAAAAGCTAATCTACGCAACCAATTACTTAGGTTTAAATTTGGATTTCATCATATAATCTTCTTCATGTTTTTTTATTTCATCATATAATCAGCAAAAGCAACAGACCCGATAAAAATGAACATTTGTGCAGCAACAATTATTGAGCAAACAAAGTAGGAAAACCTGAACGAAAGCTCCAATGGACCTTATAATCCTTGTTTCGCCGGAAAAGAACTAACCGGCGGACGGGCCGTAAGAGAATGAGTAAAAGAGTGAGGGAAACAAAAATAAGCAAATTCTCCTATGAAAGAAACCCAAATCCCGCTCTCAACATATATACTCCACCGGTACCAATTTAACTTCCCTCCTATCTCGTTTCGATGGACTTAAAAAAATAATTTTTAAATAAAAAATAAATAACTTTTAAGTTAAAAAAAAAGAGAGTAAGGGACTCCCTTATATCCTATTTGGATTGGCTTGAAAAAAATATTTTTAAATAAAAAAAAATGACTTTTAAGTCAAAAAATAAAAAAGTAGGGGAGATCTACTTTTGATTTTTAAACTAATAAAATTACTCGCGCTTCGCGCGGGATTTAATATCATAAAATTTATAAAATAATACTTAAAACCTATCGGGCATTAAAACTAAACACTATATTATCTTATATACAAGATTACGTAGTAACAAACATTAATAATGTAAAGGAAAATGAAATTTATTACATCTTATATATTTAATTGTGAAGAAAAAGAAGAAGAGGAGGAGGTTTAGAATTTCCGTTGTGTTAAAATGAAAGGAAATCTCTCTATTTATAAACAACAAAGGGTAGTGTGAACAAATAAATAGGGGACTCCCTTATACCCCATTTGGATTGGCTTTAAAAAAATGACTTTTAAGTCAAAAAAATAAAAAGTAGGGGAGACCTACTTTTGATTTTTATCTTACTTAAATTATTTTAAACTTATTTTAAGTTATGTTTAACCTTGTCAAACACTTCCTAACTTATTTGAAATCATTTTTACTTAATTAAAATTATTTTTATATTTGTCAAACACCTCTAGAAGTAATAAATTGGCTTAAAAATAGGATTGATCAACTTTTAAACCAATTCAAACACCAGTATGACTAACCACTGACTTTAAATTTTTTAATTTTATGATATTATAGATGTGTGGGGTGATTTTCTCTATTATTAATTAAATTGAAATAAGCATGTACTTTATAAATTTTTATGGTCTTAACTATT